CCCCCCCCGGAGTTTTCTGAACTAATGTCTGAACACTTTGTTGACTTTCCACCGTCTGGGGGGATGCGTAATTATGTTCACGGTGGTAAAGGGCCCTTCCGCACTAGCAACTAGACGCCGACAAAACTTGTTTCTCTTCGCCAAAAATCACTTCAACTGTCAGTCCATACACTGAGTATGCACAAGTTTGTGCGATATAAAAGATCTTTCGCCGACTGATGGTAAGAACGATGTTGAAGACTGAGGAGTGCCAAAGTAAACGGCCCGAAACTGATGTAAATTGAGATCAAGTTTTTTCATTAGCTAGTTAGAAAATACCTTTCCTTTAAGACAATTTTATATTTGAGCTTCCCATTTTATGAAGAAAAATATACAGACCCTGTTTTCATCAAAGAACAGATAGATATTAACAGTCACTCTTGAATGTGTTTTGTTTTCATTCTATTATCATTTTCATCATTACTTTTATTTGCTTCACTCAATGTTAAAATCAACCTCCATTTGACTGACTGATACACCGTAGCAAAAAAACAATGAGACACAAGAATCACCTTAAGGATTTGGTGTATTAAATTGTGAGTAATCACAGCGACAACAATGGCCGATACATATTTCCTTTTACAACCACTTCTGGGGTCTTTCGTTTGGTAAAACTCCTGGGGATATAGAACTACTTCCTCAGCTTAACTTCTACGCTGAATCCATCTTTAAGGTTGACAAAGACAACTCTATTTCCCTTGCTCGCTTTAGGCGAGGATGGCGACTCAACCCGAACTATTGGCAAGTATTCTGCTGGGGATCCATGAGCATATGCTTTTGTGGGTAGGGTCTTTAGTACATCATATCTCAGCGTCACCTGCACTTCGGTGTCTTCGCTCTCCATTTTGTACTCCTCTTTCACCTTTATGTCTTGTATTTTCTCCAAAGGCTTAGACGTAGGAAATGCGAGATCAGGATAGCTGATGCTCAAATAAAGGAACTTCGAATCTTCTTTCGCCATAATGAGGCAATCTTTGCTGACAGCTTTGACTGGACCTTCGGCTGGGAGTTCCATGATGGACCCGAATATTGCATAACCATACTGGGCGTCAATCCAATTCCAGCGTTCTGTGGTCATCTCAAATTTCACCACATGCGCTTCGTTGTCCTGTTTCAAAACTGTGTATACTTTTCTCGTGGTACTAGTCGCCTGAGATTTCCAAACATCGCTGGCAGATTTCGGATACGATGGTGTTTTAACGTAAATCGCGTACTCGTATTTGTCATCGGATGAACTGTGCTCAAACCAGGCGGTGGCATAATGACCACTAGAAGGCTTGTCAGCTGGAGTTTTAGAGCTTTGGTTCTCAACTTTAACCTTGAGACTCGAAGCACTGGAACTTGGAATGTAGTAGCTATTGCCTTTCGTGTCAGTAAGAGTGATGTACCCCTCTGAACTTAAAGCCGGTGTCTCAGCGGGGAAAGGAGCTGACATACCCTTTGTTACACCATCTACTTCAATATTGAAGGTCGATGAACCTCTTTGAAGCTTGTCTTGAAAGAGTGTTGTCTGTGCCTCTTTTCCAGGACCATTTTCAATTTTGATGTTGCTGCCTAAGCAGACCAATACGCTTTGGAAAAAGAAAACAGATTTTTTAAAGTAGAGTTTCATATTACGATGACGATCACTTACGTTTAAGAACTGGTAATCTGGTTGATGAAAGTCCATGGCGAAGAGTCCGCTCGCGATAGGCTCTGGCCCTTTAAAGGTAACTCCTCCGGCTGAAGATCGCGGACTGAAATACCTGGCTTTCTTGAGTAGCGTTTCATAAAGGCTTAGATTCATTGTAGTGGCTCCTGGTATTTTTGTCCAGTCCCATCCGTTCTCTATATCATGTGCCTTTAACGATTCCTCGTCATTAGCAATAATCATCTGGCCATGGCTTTGAAAAATACCGTGCAAATTTTGACCCTTGCCCTGCTCAAAGTCCCAGACAAATCTGTTAAAGCCTTTCACTGTAACTGCCCAGTCTTCACGACGATGAATAGAAAGAGCTGCAAAGTTCTTGGACCAATGCCCCTCCGGAGATGACTCAGCAGTCATTTTCTTATTTACACTGGCTTTCTGGAACACCTAGTCACCAAAAAAGGGTTTTTGATAAACACCATCGGACGACAATATGGCAATGATAGCTTAAAATTACTGTATAAAAACTAATTATTATTACTTTCTTAATAAAGTACGGAATGTGTCCGGAGGAATACTCGATTTTATACTTGTCATTGAGCACCAAGCTTATCTATACCTAAAACAAAAATCAGGTATCATGGGGTTATATTCACCTACGTGTCTAACTGGTTAGAGTCTATAATTCGGAAAAATTCACTAGATGCTATTGACTATTAAATTTTGACGTATCAGCATAGGGTGTTTAAAACTTTTTGCGGCAGTATCTATTGATGACTGGAACTTTGCACATTCGGGTATGTTTTGTTTTATTTTTTGTTGTTCTTTTGTATTATCCACCGATCCTCTATTGATTGAAGAGAAGTTATTCTTTCTGCCGCAATACGAATGTGTATTAACGTGGGTCTAAAACGTTGGAGAGTGCAATAAGATGATAAGAATGAAAGCACTCCATCATTAGTAATGCTCTAGGTATCTCAACCATTGTTGCATACATATTAAGATAATTCGAGTCTTACGTACTTGGCTCATTATTTCCAAAGACCCCAGAGTATTCATGTAGGATTTGCCTTTTCGAATTGTTCCATCATTGAGATAATTAACAATTAAATCGTCAGAAGGTTGGTAAAGACGTAGAAACATTTTCACATCGCTAGTGACATCAGGCACGGATGTGCCAACTTTTGGTGTTGAGGCCAGTGATTTTGAATGAGATACGCTGATGTAAGCGTATGCAGGGAGTATTTTCACCAAAACAGCTTTGAAGTACTCGGTAAAGCGTCCTCCTACGCTACTGGGCGTAGAGTATTTCACAGCTGTAACTCGCAGAGTTTTGAGTGATTTTAGTATGTTTCTTTTCGATGAGGCCGATAAGGCAAAATCAGTTCCTTCAAGAAGGTACTGCAGTTGTGATGCTGTATGCAATGCCTGCGGTATGTAAGCCGATCCATAAAACGCCATGTGGTGGAAGCCAGTGTAATCAGGCTTTACAACTCCTCCAAACGCCTTGTTGATTTTCAAAGCGTTGTCCATCCATCTCTTAACAGCGTCCATATCTCTTTGTCTGGCTTTTATCTCTTCCTCAGAACTTGTAGGCATCACTAAAACAATGATGAGCCGAAACAGCATTATAGTAATCATTCTGTCGGCTGTCGTCCCTCCGAACTCGAATTTCTTTTGATAAACTTCTCCAAAGTCGTTATACCATTTTGCGGTCTTGATCAAGCTCAGCAGTCTGCTCTTGTTTGTGGAATGTTTGTGTAGACTATCTTTAAGTAAAAGGATAGTATGCATATATGCAGCGCCATTTCGATTCATCTCATGATTCAAGGAACCTATAGCACTGCCATCTGCCCATCCTTGGTCTTCTACATAATCCAGTAAATTGATGATTCTTTGAAGACGAGCTTTGTTTAAGTATTCCAATGACCGACGCACTTTTGCCTTGTCGTAAGGGACCTTCTGTTGATTTTGGAGGAAGGAGTAAAATTCATCTCTTCTGGCTTTACGGTTTCCTGCGATCCGTTTTAACGACTCTTCTATCTTTGCTGGATCAGTAGAAAGAAGGGCTTGATCTGTGGTCTCTTTCTCTACTATCTTATCCATCTCTGCTTTACGGGACCTCAAGTAATATTCTACCGCTAGAGGTAGCATGATCTGTGCCATAACAAAGCTGAACTTCCTCGTAGGATCTTCGGTAGAATACTTTCTGGTTCCCATTTTACAGTTACGACAAAACAATGGAGGACCACTGATCACTTTCGTGGAGTCTGATGACGTTTTAAATGTAAGTCTATCATATTCCTTGTTCGCCCTGCCAAAGCTTTTCGTCATTGCTTTCCAACGCTCAAGCTCAAATCCAACGAAATCATAACTAGTTTTCCTTTCATTACAATAGAAATTTTTAAAGCGACTTTCAATGTGTTTCATACTCAAAATTTTAGATGC